TTTTACATTTTCCCTCCGGAGTAAGGCTTTGAGATGTGACTTAACTACCTTCCCCAATTAATCCTATATATTACAGAACATGATCTTTTTGTAGTACGATTTGGCTAATAATAAAGCATGATATTAATTTCATGTATTAGAGGGCTATGAATAGGCCTATCAGCCGCCTAGAAAAAGCTAGAATGCTTACCTTCTACAAAATTTATGTTAACAAACAATGCGGTAGCTAGCATTTAAACTGCAATTTATTGTTACATCAGGTTTGATCTTAGAATCCCATGGCATCATTATTATATATAATTAGTTTTTACTAAGGGTTCGTTCACAATTATCAACATTTTCACAAATGTACAAACATGCAGTCCTCTTTTTCGCTACCTCCTCCCTCCCCTCTGAAGTGGACAAAAAATGATGATTTTGCAAAACCTTTCTTCATTTTTTTGTGGAGTCAACTAAAGCAATGTACTTGGTTGCTTGTAAGTCAACCTCGCTTTGATAGTCTTATATCAGGGGCGGATCCAGAGATGTCCAAAAGGGGGGTCCGGGGGCATGCCCCCTCGAAAATGTCGTGTTCTAGACGCCCGAAAATAACATTTGAGGCGTTCTGAGGCGTGATCAGTTGTGCTTTGGAGAAAGCAATTGGGAGGTTTTGTTTACTTTACCGCTACAGTATTCTTAAATTATGAGGACCGGTAAGAATTTCCTCTCTTGTAGTATCTTAAACTTAGGGAAACAAAAAAAGTGCTTACTTAATTTGCAATATTGTATTTTAAAGAATGAATCGTTATTCGTGCATGATCAGTTGTTATCTGCAATTAGAAAGTTTTGTTTACTTTACCGCTATTCTTAAATTATGAGGAAACCGTTAAGAATTTCCTCTCTTGCAATATCCTAGACTTACGGAAACAAAAAAGGTGCTTACTTAATTTACAATACTGTATTTTAAACAATGAATCGTATTCAAACAAAAAAGTGTACTTAATGCAAAACAGACCTTCTAATTTGATACCGGAATCCTATTATTGCCTGCCTAAACTGAGTTATTAGATTTTCTTATGAAGATATTTGCCTATAGGACACCTATATTATGAAAGCGAGTGGCAGAAGTAAAGAAGAAGAGATAGCCGAAATGTAATCAACATAATATTATAATTAACCATCATTCCAGAACAGTAGAGCCTATAAATCAATTCAGAGATTACAAAAGCCGATGAGTGAAAACTCACTGTGGACCAATGGAATAACAGACAAATAATTGACTACCAGTATAGCATGTGATTACTAGGCATATATAAAATAAAATAGATTAAAATAATAATGAAATACTGTACAGTTAAAGGTAAAATGTGGTTTCTAGCGTGAAAAACTATTGCGTGACCATTTCAGTAAATCACGCGATGTCTGTCAGTATATAGCATGGTTATTCCCACACATGTAGGATTTTCCAATGGAATTTCCACTTTCATATTGTTTATTTTATAAATTGTTTGATACGTTGAAGTAAGATTCAATGCAAATATGTAATTTGTACTTACAACGTAGTTACTAATACTATGGACCTATTAACTAATAGGCCCTACTAGTAGCCCCGGCCACGAAATTAGATTTTAGCCCAACCAGTTCATAGTTCAAGATAGTCTCATACGGCATCTAACTTACGTTGCGCCCTCTCTGTTTTTATTTGAGTTTGTCGAATCAATTCAATAGAATGATTGCTTACTGTATGTAGACATAGTTTTTTAAGAGTCCTATGGTTATAACAGGGAGTTAATTGTAAGATCCAAAGAGCCATTTTGTATAAATGATCAAAAGAACAAAATTTTAATTTTATATTATTTTTATACAGATATGGAGGTTTTATTAATAGTGATATATTTTATTTTGTAAATAAATATTTCTATTCTTTTTTTTGCATTAATAAAGAAAATTATTTATAACAAAAAGTAATAATAACTATTATTATTATTATTATTATTATTATTATCAATATTATTATTATGATTATTATTATTATTATTATCATTATCATTATCATTATTATTATTATTATTATTATTATTATTATTATTATTATTATTATTATTATTTTTAGTTAATTTGTGTTTTAATTTGTTTTAGAAACATTACTAAGCAAAAAAAGAAATAGTTATTCGGTACGGTAGTAGGCCTACTGTGTGCGTGTATGTTATAACAGTATTGTAAGGGGGTATTAGAACTCTATGGAAGCTTACAAGTGCCACCCAGATGTTCAGATGACAAGTTCCTGATCTCATCATGTCTACAACCAGTAGAAGAGATAATAAGTTGACGAGATCTTTTCTATAGGATGTCGACATGACGAGATGATTATCTATCTGGGTAGCTATCTGGGTATCTGTCCGGCGGACAGATTTTGGCCGCCAAAATCGGTCCGCCGGACTACTAAAATCGGTCCTCCGACTTTGAGCCGCTAAAGCCGGTGTCATTTACGTCCATTGACACAAACTCCCATTGAGTTGTCCAGTTCTACATATACATCTACAGAGTTTATAAAAGGTGTTTTTTGAGGTGCTTCGTCTATTTATTTACATTTTGTAAACTTATTTTTTAGTTTCTCATAAGGTCAGTCGTGGCTGGTCATTTTGGTCATTTTGTTTAAATCTTGAGACTTGAAAATAACTATTGCACTTACTAGATACAAATTCTGTAATTATATATATTTGTTTTAAATTTGTACATTTAATAGTACTGTTGGTAATCTTTGTTGTGAGAATTATACTGAAATAAACTATTTGGAGTAATTATAAATTTCAATATGTACGTTTAATACTGTCTGAGGCAACTATATACCACCTCTCATTGTTGTAGTGTACTGATCCTGATTGTAAAGTAATAAATAAATCAAAAACATCGTGAGATGGATAGGATTACTTCAGGAACGGAATCCAGTCACACTCTACAATAACGACTCATATTGAAAATAGCTTCTGACATCATTTTATTTGATGGGGGGGGGGTTTTCCTTTCACAATCATGCAGATTAAGATTACGAAATGGTTTCTCCGAAGAGACGTAAGCAAGTCGCGATCTTATTGATTAATTGTTATACATTTCCTTTTCTCGTCTTTTAAAGTTTATTACTCAACTCAAACCACCGCACACTTTTACGCACGAGGATTTGACACGAAGTGTCACCATCCAACATTCTTAATTGCAATGGCGCCGAGAGGACGGGGCAACCGGGGAAAGGGATAATTAGGTCAAAAATATTTAAGATAATTAAAAATTATTAACATTATACATTTATCTAGTATCATTCATGTGTTTTCCCCACGAAAATTGTAAATCGATGAAAGCTGGTAATTAATCGCTTCTAATTCTTTTTCATGAATATTTTCATGACTTCTTCTGCTCTAGAGTTTTAATGTTTACAAAATATCAAATAGTAAATTCTTTGTGTTATTAATTAATATTTAATCGTCAATATACATCCAAGTTAGAAAATACAAATGGACCTGATAGAGATTCGATTATCAAATAAATACTGAATTAATATAAACCAGTCGGATTTAAGGGGAGGCCCGGCCCCCAACCCCTAAATTTTTCACAATTTAACAAAAATTGAGGAAAAGAAAATACTACTCAAATTTAAGTCTAAGAGTGCCATTTCCGGCCGTCCAGAAGAGGTCCCATAATCATAGTTTTCTTGCATCAGCCCCCGAACCATCGTGGGGCTGAGGTTAGACCGTCCATCTATCTGTGAAAGTCTTCTGGGCTCCCTCTGTTATAAATTCCTGGATCTGCCACTGTAAACTTTGATACCGTACCGTACCTGTTATGAACACTGGGTCTTTCAGCACGTTTGAATAAAAGGAAGGATGCCTTTACTTTTCATGTTTCTATATTTTATTTTTTATGACCGGGTGAAATTAGGGGCACTATCGATTAAATTAGTCCTCTAATCCGTTAAAAGGCCGTACTTTCCAGGTGCAGGGGAGGGGGAAGAGGTCAGTCCCCCCCCCCCGATCCCACTGGGCCCTAGGCGCCCTCCCCCAGACCCACAACGGATGGGCCCGGGCAGCGAAGATTCGCAGCCCTGCTTAATGGTCGTTGAACTTGTTTTGTGTGAGAGGGAGAAGGGATATTAATCGAATGTACAGAAATCCCATCCAATAATATTCCATGACAACTCGGGTTTAGTTCTCAATGAAAAAAACACCTCTGCTCAAGTTGTCGATCAGACGGGACACCAAATGAATAGGCGTATGCATTAGAAATGCATATAAATGTAGGCCTGTACAGCAATTAATGAACGTGTAACACAAACTCTCAACTCCCGGATTTACTTAATCATATTGCCTAATTGAAGTCTTAGAGCAAATGGTGAGTACACAATAAATGAACATAAGTCAAATGCACGTCAGCATAGCCATTGCGGATGCCGCATGTTAAAACACGATTTATAAAAATTTATATCATTAAACCGCTCAATAACATGCAGAAACAGTTACTTGTTATTTTCTCCATGCTTGTACCATGGAGGAAATATTTCCTCCATGCTTGTACCATAGAGAAATTTCTCTATGCTTATACTGTATGGACAATTTTGGCACAGTATGGACGCAAGCTATAATGCACACGTGCCAATAAACATGTAATTTATCCAAGGACTTAAGTGGTACATTTATAAGTCCTTGATTTACCAAAGGCACACCATGTGCGAAAGCACGTAAGCTTACATGTTGAAGTTCTGACGGGCACTGAACTTGATGTTTATGTTGTATGCAAGCGATTTTATGCGGATAACGTTCTAATAGTAATAACCGGTTGAACAAGGGAGTTGCTTAAAAAATCCCCTGTTAAACGGTGCAGTAGTCACAGAGCAGAATGTGTGACAGGCTTCCGAGATGTGACATTTTGCATTGTGCATTTTTAACTTGAACGGAAAATAACTTAATTATCATATTGGAAGTTTGTGGAGTTTGGGACGAGTGTTGTACAAGGATTAATACAAGCTGAATAAAACCGCAAGAGCAAGTCACCATTTAATTTACGACACATTTGAATTGATAGATAGCAGTACCAAATAATTTAAGATAAACTCAACGAAGACCTAAAGAGTATCCAAATGAGGACAACATGATTTAATTAGGCCATTGGTAGGAACAAGAAATATTTATCCTTCTTTGTATCTACTGGCCCATCAGGGGAAAGCATCAGGGGAAAGTAGACACTTTGCTATCGCCTGGCAATTGAGCTTGTAAGAGTAGAGGCTAAATCCGGTGGAGGAATGATGGGCTCGGATGGGTCATAAGCTGAAGATAAATATTAAAAGTTTACAAAACGTAATGGAATGCTGCATAAGACCAGTTCTAGAAAGTTCACTGGAAGTCAATTATCTGGTAATACTTGTGCAGTTATTGAAGTGAATTGCCAAAGCAGGAAGCATGGATGAGCTAAAAGTAGCCAAAAAAGTATGTCAAGCAGTAGGCACGCGCTTGCGCTGGGAGCCTATTTTTTTTTAAGTATATAGTTACCCCCACCAGGGAGTTGTTAACAACTAAGGGTTTTCGCTAAGTGACCAATCGGACATTTCAGTATTTTGGTCACGAGTAAAACTTATTACAAAATAACGCACTTTTTTCGCTCGTGTATCCAGTCACAGCGGAGTATATTCCACCTTGTATATAGGCCTCCGTGATTCTACGAACTATAGTCGAATGAAAATAGGCCTACATGTACAAACAAATAGTTCTCAAAGAAACGTACCGCAGTCGAATTTGGCCATTATCATTATCAGTGATATTGGTACTATCAATTAACCATCTTTACAAAAAAATGATAGCCATCGACATGATGTTGGCATTGGATTGATCTACTTTTAATTATAATGTCACCAGTGGCGTCACGGAGTTTCTGGGGCCCTGGCGCTGACTGTGACCTTACCTAATAAGCGAGCGTTAAAACTGACTGGGCCCATTGAATGAAACTATGGTATTATAGTTTATATTATTTTTTTTAAGACTACAATTGTCGGGGCCCTCGCGCCGGGGGGTCCTGGCGCTCCGCTCCCGTCAGCGCCCGAGTGTGACGCCACTGCCATCGGCGTCATCCTCATCCTCATTTCCATCAAAATATCATCATTAGACATCATTATCGCCGTCATCAAGTTCATCATAATCATATCATTATCATCATCGTCATCAATATTATTGTTTATTGTTTTGTTGAAAATATGAAACACCAACGTTGATTCAGTGGCGTAACGATAGGGTCGGGGCCCTGTGTATTTCTGAAACTGGGGACTCTTTTTGGGTCCCAGTCACCAATTCCATTCTGGGATTTTAGATGTGTACCGTATTATTCTAAATGTTTTTAACGACGAATAAATGATGTAATATGGATCCAGAAGATTGAGGCCAGGGAGGGACTTTCACAGTTGAGTCTATACCACCAGCCCACCATGGTTGGGGCGTAGGTAAGAAAATTTATGAATTTGGCACCTTCAGATGGCCGGAAATGGCATTTCACAGACATAAAATTGTGAATATACTTTTTTTTATCTCCAGTTAAAAAATATTTTGACAAATTTAGTGGGGCCCTGGGCCGGCAGCTCCCCGCCCCCTCACTCTTTATTCCGCCACTGGATATAATATGATATGTCTTACAATCGATTTCAGGCACACATTATGCTGTTGCCCTTGCAGGACTGAGATAAGAAAATGTATTATTATGGCACGTCTAGATGGCCGGAAATGGCACTCACAGACTTAAAATTGTGAATGTAATTTTCTTTTTATCACCATTTTTGACAAACTTGGTGGGGTCCCGGGCCGAGAGGTCGACGGACCCCCCCCCTTCTATTTAATCGTTATAATATATGCCCTACAGTCGATTTCAGAGATACATTATGGTATTATTTATCAACAAAGTCCTTTTTAGTCAGGGTACTAGATCGAGGAACCCATGGGTAGGGACCCTTGGGGCCCCTAGAATTCGGGGGCCCTGCGGACCGCCGCATGAGAGCGCAAAGTCGTTACGCCACTGCGTTGAATTACGAAACAATTTGATAACCATGGAGGAATTATTCAATATAGTACAGTACTGCACAAACACTTCTATTTAATCCATGCATTGACGTAACTCCCTTTAGATAGATTGCAATAGCATTTAAATCTATCACATAGAAAAAGGTAATTAAAAGGCAGCACTCTGAGACTAAACTTAGATGTTATTTATTCAACAAGCTTTCGCTGGCAGTCAATGTTTAGAAAAAAGGTGTACCATACACGGACCATGCATGGACATAGCAATTACTACGACCATCTACAACAGCCAATTTTATAACCAAACAGCGCCACACAGCTGAGTAATAAGGGCATTCACCTCTTTAATAATTATATCGATTTACCGGACTCGGGTTAGCACAAAACGAAAATACTGTACATGCTTTTTGGCAGTATCGTACTCTTCAACTCCTATTATATGTTCACGTTTTCATTATAATTACAATTATAGTTATAGGACTAGTACGTTTTTATCTCAATTCACAGGTATCGAGTGATTTTGAGTTGTGTTTTTGACGTACATAATAATCTGAAACCATAATAACAAAAGAAACCTCGCGAGCATGTGACCGCTGTAATTACTTCCTGTTTATATCTTGGCTATCAATCAATTACGATTAGCCAATGGCTGTAAAGCGTGTGTGGGAAAATAACCAATTAGAATGAGGTTTGACTGTATAAGCGCCGTACGTACATAACTCCGCCTATTGCAAAAATGAAAACAAACACACGATTAGATTTACCGGCGAAGCCGCTTGTTGTCAAGCGCGAAGAGGAAAATTTCTGAACGATAACATAAACGGTGTGTACTGTACTTTGGGTGTATTTTGAGTATTTTTGCATCTGAATTGTGACTTGGAAATACATTATAACATTCTTCAATGAATCGGAATCTATTGACTGTAGATGAAATATATATTTTGTAACAGCAGTTGTTACTTTTTTTAAAGAGTGGAAAACATGTACGGTTCTAGAAGGATGGCAAAACGCTCCATCGTTGGCACTAGAGTGGCAGCACCGTGGCAAGATGGTATTTTCTATCCTGGCGTTATAAAGGACATTAAATCTCGAGCTGGTAGTGAAACAGTGTATACTATCCACTTTGAAGATGGTTATGCCAGGACATATCGAGATGTTGATATTGTGGGTCCATGTTTCCAGCCTGTATCGAAAGTTCATTTAAAATTCAATCAGACCGTATTCACCACATATAACGGGCGCGAAATTGCAGGTGTTGTTCAGAAACACCGAAAACAAACGAATGAAGTGTTGATTGTTTTGAAGGATGAGGACGAGACGATGATAAAAGTGAAATTGGACGATGTGAGGTTGCTAGAGAGCAGGAAATCTGCCCGCTTGGTGTCAAATGATACCGACTATTCGAAATTAGCGGACATATCCGTTGCCGAAACCAAAAAGCGCCATGTGTCGAGTACCATTGATGTTCCAAGCAGGTAAGTAGAATATCATGAACGTTGGCCCGGCCGGAAGAATATAATGTCAAAAACATTTAATAATTTGACAAGCCGATTTGGTATGCAAAAATCTGGCTATAATTGTGCTTAATTTAGTGGCTTTTTTTTAACCATTAAGGTTTTTGTCAACAAAAAAAGTTATGATGTGATCTGTGACGGCAGCTTGAAAAAATCCCGGTTGTACAAAAAGGTTATTGCGTCATAATATAGCAACATGTTTGGAATTAATTGGTTTTGGATATTATAATCAGGTGATATTGATGTTGTCAGCAAAAAGAAGTCTGGAAATTGGAATATTGCCAATGTTTCGACAAATAAGTACGAGCTGACGTCAGCTTATCATCCTATCCCTAACTAATGTAATTGAGTCAGGATTGAGTACCATACCGTTAACATTTTCTTTCTGATCGCCCCAGTTAAGAACGAAGAATAATGTTTTTACCATAAATTATCCTTATCCTAAATAACCGTCTTTATTATACAAAATATAAATAAAAATTCTTGAAGTTTAAACGATAAGGGTATAAAAAGAGGTAATTCACTGGTGGCTGTTAGTGCAGTGTAGCCAGGGTATTTCCAAATGGCGTTGATTTTCATGAACGTCACAGCAGGGTTTGTTTTGATGGCAGTGCTGTCAACTGTACAGCAACCTTGGCTTCGTTTCAACTTCGATCCATTGTATGGTAATGCACGAGGCCGATCTCCTCAGTGACAAGCCTCGAGAGAATAGAATGCTGACTTGTGTTGCGTTTTGCGATTATTCAAGCATAACAAATCAGGCTAAGCTGTGGGCGCCGGCCGGTTTGTTTTTCTCTTGCAGTTAGCATGTGCTCAATTGCTTTAGTTTCCGTAGAGCTGGATTTCTGGACTCAACTATGACTTTTCATTAATATCGGTGGTGATAATAGATAGTAATTAAGTCAAGAATCAATTATGTATACAACTACATATTATGTATCTATTCAATATGCATAGGCCTAATTAATTTCAGAATAAATTTTGAAGACTGAAATGGAGGTCCTATGATGATACTGATGTAATTAAATAATATTTAATGAAACAACTACTTTTCTGGTTGCATATGTAATTTATAATAATATACTCTATTTCGAAAACAAGATTTATACAGTGTAAGCTACATACCGTAAATGCTCAAACAAATTATAAAATTTTTGGAGGGTTCAGTGCGGCGCTTATAAAAACAAATTGGCATTTAATTGATTTTATCCTGATAGATTCATTCAGATTATAATTTTTAAGAATTATTATAAGTATGCCTGCTACTGTACTAATGAAAATAAATATCTATTTTTTATATGCTGTAGTCCCAAGGCACCAAAAATAGATGAAGAACCCACAATGGAGGACGTGATGGCTGCTATGGTGCTGACCTCGCTATCATGTAGTCCAGGATTCAGGAATGGAGGTAATCTGCAAGAGGCCTTCTTTTTAAATCAGTGTGAAAAATTTGACTTTCCTTCAATACTTCCAAAAGGCACAGATCAAAACTAATCAGTTTTAGGCAAGACTTTTTATACCTTGTTTTAAGCGAACCCACCACCCGCCAATAGTTGGCCAAAAATTTTATTTTTGGCCAATTATCGCACCTCCCACCACGGAAAAATGGAAATTTTCTTTATTTGTGTTAGCAAGCCGCTGCCTTTAAAAATTTCCTAAAATAAGATGTACCGTATAATATTTCTTCCTAATTATATAATTTTCTACACTGTTTGCATTCAACAATAAAATTTTATTTTTATTTTCTCCTCCGTCTGGATGATTTTGGCAAAACCATATCCTAAATAATAAAAAAAAACCCTTTTTTTTTTTCTGCCCTCTGACGATCTTTAAAAAGATAAGTTTGTAAAATAATTTTAAAAGTCTCGGCTTAGCACATTTAAATATGTTATGCTAAATAAATTTATAAACTGTCTGTCACCCAATTTAATGAATGCAAATATTTGTTTAGGAATTATGTAGTCGAATTTTTACTATTAATAGCCTTCATTAATTTTTTTTTTTGCTTAAGCTCAACATACAGGTTCATAATTGATTTATGGGTTTTTGAATCCATTTTTGTAGCATTATCTTTGTTGTAAACCATTGTTTGGACAAGTCCAGACAAGTTATATTACACCAGGCAAATGCCATTGTTTGATCTGAAAGTACACGTTTATGAAATGCAAAATACAGTACAGTACAGGCACATGCCAGTGTGCTTACAAATGTATCCCAATCATTGCACTTTGTTTATTTATACCCTGATTATGGAGGCCATGAAACTGCAAGTGGACAGTGTTATCAACAAGGTCAATTACAGCTAATTACAATATTTGAAGTTTTGATAAAGTCTGGTGATGTTTCTTACCAGCCTTTAAGTACAAAATATTAAGGTCAGGGTTAAGTAGAAACCATTAGAGATGAAGTTAGAAAGTGCAATAAACTTCCCTGTGTTGTTTGTTGTTAGTTATGACTACCAACAATTTATTGTAAGTGTTCAGTAGTCACCATAGCTACTGTATGATGGGAGGTACATAAAAAAGGGCATTCCTTCTTCCACATGACCTAATTGTTAAATATATAACATAAAACCTCATACATTCACACATCAATAGATTAACAGGTTTAGTTTTTATGTGCCTTAGAAAGGGCCCCCCACCCAAGATTAAATGCTTCCCTCAATTTAAATTCCCCCACAAAAACCCTTCCCAACTATAAACATCTCTGTGAAGTTGACAAATTTCAATTTCATTAAAATTTCAGTCGGTGAGCGCTGTCCATCAAGCCCATCCAGCCCAGCAAGGCACAGCCTCTCTTCATCTTGGTCTCCCGCTACTAACACTAATGCCCCTCCAAGCAGCCTTGGTTCCTCATCAAGTGGACGGTTTAGTTTTGATAACACCAGATGGATCCCTTCCCCATCAGCCTCATCTAACAGTGACCGGGAAAGTCCACAAGCAGCCACAGAAAAGATGGCATTTGATGGTGGTAGTCGGTCGCTTGTGGAACCTGCATTTGGCCCACCTCCACAGGTGTTCAGTTTGTCTCTGGACGAGGGTATTGATGTGTTTGACTGCGGAGCTGAGTTTGAAGTGGAAGAAAATACCCCACCAAAAAAAATTAAGGTAGGTGACAGGAATAACAACAACATTGTGAAATTTAATATTGTACTACAGTCATAATGTAGTTCTTTCACTTTCATTTAATAGCATGTACACCCCAATGCCTGCATTACTGTGTGTATAAATAGCATCATAAGGTTTGTGAAATGTACTGCAGTTGTTAGTTTGTATATCACTTCTGATCTTCAAAGTCTGAGTATTACTCAATAACACTGTATTTAAACACTCAGTTGGCTCACCCAGTGGCTGTTTTCTACAAGGTCATATTGCCAATATAAAATATTGTAAAAAATATTAGGAAAACAAAGGTCTCCTGGAAGCTGAATTTGGAATTTTATTTAGAATAAAAATCAGTGTGAAAACATACAACAAAATAATTGAATTAAGTTACAGTACCTGTAGTTTAAAATATAAGAAACTACAATGTGGTAGGCCCTTCAGTCAAATTGAGCGAAGCCAAGTTTCGGAATCTCTGTGATGGTGTTAACTACAGTATATTTTAAGTTTCAGGTACTAGTTAACAATTATATTATAGTAAATCCTTGCTGAGCCATGAGGGTCACAGGGCTGGAGCTTATTCCCAGTTTCTGTAGCATGAAGCGGATGAGAGTGTGATGCTCCCCCTGGGTGGGAGACTGGTCCACCGCAGGTTACTCCCAGCAATTTACTGGTACCCATTGACACAGCTGGGAAACTGAAGCAATGTAGATAAAGTGCCTTGCTCAAGGACGCAAGCGAAATGCACAGCAAAGTATTGGAACTCCGACCTCGAGGTTGGGATACCGAACCATTTCCACTGCGGCAAACTGCTTCCAACAATTATATTAGATATCAATATACTGTATATACATTATGCTAGGTTACTGATATATGCATGAACCTTCTTTGATGTATAATTAATAGCTCTTTGTGATTCATAAATTATTAACATATATGATATATTATGTTGACTTTATGAATTGAATTTTGATTTAATCATCCAATTCCGTGAATGGATATTTGTTGTTGCATAGTTGTCAATTTATACGGCTTACCGCGAGACTCACGGATAATTTATCATTTGCCAGTTTTACTACGGATAAACAAAAACTCACGGAATTCAAGGTTACTCACGGATCAAGATTTTTAAACTAATAAATAATGATTTGCGAAAGGCATATACAGTAATATGCAATAAATAGATCATTTGCCATTCATCTGTAGTGTTTATAGTGTAGCAAAGAGTAAGCCTAGGCTATAGTGCAAGCCCAGTACACTCGGAGTTGGAATCGCCCGCTGCCGTCAGTGTGCTTTTATTACGGAGTAATACACCGCGCATGGTTTGTTTGTTTTTTTATAAATCTGTTTTCCACATGAAAGTACTGTCTGTACATGGTGATTCATGAAAAAAATTAGTCTGTAAGTGTAAGAAATGTTTTAATTTTACACCAAGCAACTGTCGGGTACTCATCCTAAGTTTACAGTATTGTATAACTTTTTGGTTTTATTAAGTTTACATACATTCACTTGACTTAATTTAGTGTCCAAGATCAATCAAATCAGTAGTAAAAATGCCCAGATTGCGTGAGATTCAAGGGGATTCTCCATGTACAGACAGCAGCCACCAGGCAGTGGTGCATTGCTACGCAACGCAAGTTCTCACAGGTTTTTTTCTTTTTAAAAGTTGGCAACTATGTTGTTGTTTTATGCAAATAGTACTGAATTTAAACATAGTTGCTTTTATAAGTAAACATGATAATATTGGTAAAATGATAACAAGTCACGCTCTCTAGATTGGCATATGTAATGTCAATTCAACCATAGAGATTCAACATTTTGAATAGTTAGTATTGTACAGTATTAAACACAATAAAATCTTGAACTTAACCCCAATTAACATCAGAAGTTGGAAGGTCAAAATCATAAGCATATTTACAATAGACCACATTGTATTAAAGGTTATCTCCAATCAATATTATGTTTTATTCACATCATGAGTGAGATGGCACCGGCCGGTATACAATAGTGAGCTCCAGCAGACCGGCTCATAAGCTGTTGCAGCAGTTTTTGATCAGCAGCCAGAAATAAATTTATTTATTGCCTGCGCTTGTGCTGCTATTGTTCTAAGCAACAAACTGAACTGTGACCTTTTGTGCAGGGCTGTTATTTATCTGGCCCAGGTCAGTAACTTTGATAGAAATTGAGTTTGAAGGTACTAATGAACAAAAGCAAATATTCCTGCAGTTGAATGCATGGCAAGATATTTTCAGGAGATCCAGTTCAAATCAGTCATCTTTGTCACCATCATCTTAATCTCTGTTGAAAAATGAATTTAAGTACAGTATTTACATATCTCAACATATGACATAGCATGATAATATCATATTTTTCTAGCATTATATGCATGTCTACAGTATATGAGTATGAAAATAGACATTGTACAAGATTTAAAATCTGAAGTGGAGGCCTATTTCAAAAAATACTGAAAAATTGAATTATTCAATAAAATTGAAATTTTAAAAGATCAACTTACAGTAGTCAACCTAAAGAGTTTTAGGAACTCAAAAATGCCCTTAATGGTAAGATTATTATTAAGGATGTTTCTACACTTCTTCCTTCCATTCCAGATTTGTGGCAATGTCTGGGTGGTAAATCGTAATAAATATTTTGTGCTTACTTAAATTACTGTATGGCGGTTGTTATAATTGTACAGTATACTTGTTATTGTTGATTGTACCCCTTTATTGTCAATGTTGTAGCTATAAATTTTAGAAAGATTATAAGAGTATACCGCCATGATTCATTATTATTTATAGCCAGGCTAGTCATAATTTCAACATATGATGTGATATTAGTGTACTGTAGGTTTATTTAGGCCTCACGTTAATAGACATTAGAGAGATTACCTGTCCAGCAGTCATTTCTATTTATAGGAATTGGTGCTAATACAAAGGTCAAAATTCATTCCTAATTTTCAATACAATAATAGTGAGCTTATCATTTAAATTTCTTGAATTAATTACAGTAGTTTTAGAAAATTAGTTTATTTTATATTAAATATGATTTTTTATTTCTAATCATATTTTCATATCAAGTACTTAATAAGGAATGACTAGCAATTTTGTATTGTAAATGTTAATGCTAATTTTAAGTGTATTGCAAACTATTACTAAGTAAAAATGAAGTTGTGGTACTATATATAGGCCGTGTTGGTACAGTTTGATAGAATACCCTGAACAGCTGGCTAATGATAAAACATTATTGTATCTAATTGCATGAACCCCTCTGTTTTTGTATACAAACGGTAAACTAAATTGTTCTCACTGTAGTATGTTCAATGCATTAGTACAGTAGAGTATGTGATGATAGCATGTGTTTCAATATTATGTTGAAAAAAGGTTACTGTAAGATGTTCTTTTTTTTTTTTTTAAAACATCAGTCGGGTTTAAAGTGTCATTTAACCTATTTATAACCTGGTTCCATGTAAAGGAGATTTCCTATAGCCAAGTTTAATTAGAAGTGTTTCTTTAATAGAAAAAGATTATGATAAAGTAGCACTACAATAGTAAACTGTTCAAAAGGGGGGGATGTTCATCTGAACCCCCAAAACTCCTCTGGTTACAGGAGTCTGTAGGGGTTGGTTGTGTAGTACTTGCTTTTTTTAGGTCTACTGCAGGGGTGGGCATAAAAATCGGTCGGAGGGCCAAAATGACTTTCTGATTTAAAACTGAGGCCGCACCCAAACTTTAATCCAGTGCACTTTCAGAAACCTCCAAGCACTGCTTTCTCACAACTTTATTCCCAGTTTTTAATATTACTTTTTACATATGATTGGTGTCGGGCTGTAAAAACCAGGTGTTTACTAGCCAATGTTGCTTGGCGGGCCGCACACATAGGCTTTTTAATTCATATTCGTGGGCCGCAAAAAAATTGGTCGGCCCGAGGGCCGCACTTTGCCCACCTGTGTTCTACTGGATACATAGCCTGCTTATTATATCAGAGAAATACAAAACTGCTTTCTTTAATATAATTGCCTTGTATCATGATGTTAATCGATGCTAACTGCCACTTTAAAAACAAACACCACATTTATATATCAGGCTGTTGACTGAAGCCATGCTAATTGCTCTATAGTATCATTAATATCAAGCTGTTAATTGAAGATAGATGCCAACTGCCCCTTTAAATACAATATCATGCTGTCAATTGATGGCAGTATGCATACTACCCCTTTAAATGTTTTTAATTGTAGATGAAATACCAACTGCCCCTTTAAAAACAATATACATTAATTGAAGACAGTTTGCATACTGCTCATTTATATATAATATTAAATATGTTTTTAATTAGAAGATGAATACCAACTGCCCCTTTAAATACAATAATCACGCTGTTAATTGAAGACAGTTTACATACTGCTCCTTTAAATACAAATGGCATCAATTATATAGGTAATTACATTTTGACAGGTTAGAACCCAGGAATCCTAGATCTTTATCATTTGTTTTGTAAACAATACCATGCACAGTTCACCTGTGTAGTGCGATACATATAGGCCTTCTCAATTTACAAAGAGCATTATGATATAATATTATACAGAGCCTATAATAATCACTACCAGTCCATTATCCCTATTAATATGCAAGGGCTGAACCACCAAGACAGGGTTATGCAGCATTTATAAATGTATTAATTATTTTGACTAATTAGTTTGTTTTTAACTATGCAGGTAATACCGGCACAGAAAAGTGGATGATCTGTGACATTTTATAATTATTATTCCTTTGTTTATTTTTACTCTGATGATTAGCTACTCTTTGTGAATAGAAAGGTTATTTTGTTTAATTATAGCTTCATTAATATTTACATACAGTATTCATAATATTGATTTTCAATGTCATATGAATATACATGCAATTTGTAATTCAGGGACCTTTATATTGGCCATTATGGCAAGTAATACTGTAACAGGCAGAAGAAAAATTTTGAACATGGTGTCCATAACAATCGCTACACGCTATTGCCGGCAGCTTTCGGCGAAGCTGATTGGTCAGCAGAATCGGGAAGCCTTTCTGATTGCGTCGGGGACTGCTACGCAGTACAACTGCATTGAAATAAATCTTTGTAAATTGATTAAAATTGCTTTATGATTATTATTTTTATTATTTTATTGTTATTTGTATTTTCTAGGTCGGCCTATATTATTTCTGTATAAAGCGCATCTAGGGCAATGTGCAGTATGCGCTATACAAATATAACATCATTATTATTATTATTAAAACACTGTAGCGACAGTGTAGCAATTGTATAGAAACGAAGTCCCCCTCCCCCACCCCGTCTACTAGTATTGCACAAACTTTTAGTCATGATGTCTTTGCTCTGATCTATATAAATATGGTAACATTTGGTTATATTTTAAGAAATGTGCCTCATCCTTGAGCATAGCTATATATAGTAGACTGACTATACCAAGGTTATACTTCTTAAGATTCTACCAAATTGCTTCAAGTTAGTATTGTGCTGTATAATTACTTAGTTAGGTTAGTTATTCCAGTTATTGATTACATAAATGGACAGATCAATACTTGTCAGGGTTCAACAAAATAAAGTTAGATAAAAATACTGTAGCTCAAGATACTGATATAGTACAGTAAGCTTTAAAAGGCTAAGAATAAGATTACTGTATGTATGTGTATAGCAGTAATATTATAGTCCATAATATTGTAACCGGTATCCTACACACAGTAGGCCACACAATGGTAACTGCATGTACTGAAGTAAATGTTACTAGATATGGTAATCAGTGATCACTGAAGCATATCAAAACAATCTGGGTATTCATGGGAATCAAGGCGTTGAGGCAGTAAACTTCAGAATGAATGAAGTACAGTACTGTAGTAATTCACAAGTGCACAATATGTTGATGACATTGGTTGTTATGCCACTCCCTGCATTCAACTGGATCCTGGATTTTGAAAGCTCATTTTCAATACAGTACTGTACTGCAAGGTATATCACCAATCAATAATCAAATGTATATCAAGCAAATGTAACGACTAGCAACAACAATAATATTAATAATAAATAATTATTTTAAACAAATAGTACTAATAAAAACATTAATTACAATGATTTTAAAAATAAATAACAATATTAAATAAAAATAATAATAAAACAACTAAAAAAGAAAAATAGGTGCAATGAAAAAAAGTTGATAAATATGTTTTTAGGTCACTCAGTTGCAGTGTCCTGTTCAACTGCAGAGGCATCCAATCTTGTAGCACTCCACAATACACAGTATAATTTGTTTTCTTAATAAAATAACCTGGATATACTGTTGTGTACATCTTTGCATCTTGTACAGTAAATGTATGTGAAGCTACATGGGTGTGGATATCATAACAAACCTAAAGGCTACTACTTATGGTCATTTAATTTACTTAGGTTCCCCGCCCACCTGCTAGTCCTTATGAGTTTATTATTATTATTGACTATTATTGTTCATGTCTAACAGTGGACATCCTTTAATATAATATTGTTTGTAAATAAAGGAAATGAATATTAATTTAATATACTATTAACTATACTACACCTCCACCTCTTAAGAAAAAACACAAGCAAAATATACAATAAAACAAATACTTTTTCATGCAGTAATTCATGAAGGTATTGTTTTACTTTTTAATGTGATCTTTTTGACACAATAGCTTTATATTTGTTATATTTTGTATATAAAATTAAAACATTCTAGCATACCCCTCATATAGTAGGCCTAACTCTGTAAAATGTGCCCTATTTCTATATAGTATAAAATACCTGGGGCCCTGGAAATACTAAAAATGGGAAACATATGTTGGCGATGATACCCATTTCACCAGGTCTTACAACTACCCTAGAACACTGTATGGCCCTTCTCCATTGGATGATTGCCAAAAAGGTCAAGTTATAAAATTAAAAATGAATAATAATCTTGTTTTCATTTATTACCGCCCTTTTAAGAATCGTTGACAGCAATCATCATTCAGTGTAAAAGCTGAGGTAAAGACTTGGCTACTTGTTGTTCTATGGTACTTGTGAAACTTGTGGTATTGGAATTGAAACTGTGAATTGAATCTGATTTTCATATTGTAGTTTGGATTACTTTCATTTCATGTACACCAAAACATAAAACTCAATTGCTAGAGAAATGATAAAGGAAATTATAATTATTTTGTGTTTGGATCATCCAATTTGTAAAGCCAACAATTGGGCACATCAGTTACTGGTTGCTGGAACAGCCTAATGATATACACTACTGTAGTTCAGATTTAGTGTTACCATCATAACAACTTCATGTGGAACACCTGGTGACAGCCAAAAACAGGGCCTCCTTTCCTTTCTTTTTTTCAGTTTTTTTTTTTTTTTTACTAGTGTGTGTGGACACTCTATAAAAATATTGGGAAATTAATTATAATTGTAAACGTTTGTTATACCATCTTTCATGCGGAAGTATAGAGTTAGCGATTCAAGAGAAATGAATTATTGGTAGAGGAAAAAAGAACAGAGGAAGTTGTAACCGTTTTCCAAGAATATTACAAGTTGTTATAAATACTAACACATCACATACACTGTAACTGTTGACCTATTTTTACACACTGTGACCTATTTTATTGAGACAAAGTGTGGTACAAGGCCAGTCCAAGGTAATGCATTGTTCATGTTGACTAGTATTTAGATGGTTTCACATGTTCCATTGAAAACATTTGTTTAAATTATGATTAAAAGTATGCCACAACTGTGTTTAATCTACTGTACTCTACAAAATGATTATCCTGCCACACTATAAACCAGTGTCATGTTTTTGTAAATGGTGAAGCAAGTGATATGAATTGGGTCTTGAATCTTCAACTGTACTATAGGAGAGGGATAAATGCAAAAAAAACCGAAACCAACATTCTCCCAAACCCATATTGAATTATTTATACCATAATGATGTCTGATCATGGAGGTATAATACCTCCATGGTCTGATGAATCTATTCAAGTAGTTAACAAAATATGTTGTATCAAAAAATCTACTAACTTAATAGTCATCATAGTACTAGTACAGTTAACTATCATTAATCATAGCACTAGTACAGTAACTATCATTAATCACAGTACTAGTACAGTAACTATCATTAATCACAGTACTAGTACAGTAACTATCATTAATCATAGTACTAGTACAGTAACTATCATTAATCATAGTACTAGTACAGTAATTATCATTAATCATAGTACTAGTATAGTAACTATCATTAATCATAGTACTAGTACAGTAATTATCATTAATCATAGTACTAGTACAGTAACTATCATTAATCATAGTACTAGTACAGTAACTATCATTAATCATAGTACTAGTACAGTAACTATCATTAATCATAGTACTAGTACAGTAATTATCATTAATCATAGTACTAGTACAGTAACTATCATTAATCATAGTACTAGTACAGTAATTATCATTAATTATAGTACTAGTACAGTACAGTAGAACCTCGATTTTACGTACGGTACGGGACCAGAGGGCGTACGTAAATCGGGGGATTCGTAAAATAGAGGTTGGGTTAAATTTGTGGTAACCTTTGACCTAA